AAGGAAGGAAGGAAGGAAGGAAGGAAGGAAGGAAGGAAGGAAGGAAGGAAGGAAGGAGAAAGAAAGAAAGAAACAAAGAAAGACAAGAAAGACCCTGGGATGATTTTTAGTATCAGAACTATTTTCAAAAAGAGATCAGGATACAATAGAAACAGAAACTAAATGGAGTGATAATGTTATTGAAATACAAGAAACAAAATATAATATATTACATAGTCACAAATTATCAAAAGGACTGGAAACTCTAAGGCCACCCCAGAAGACCAAATGTTTCCGTGGAATTAGTAACAGGAATTGGCCTGTATCACTGAACTTTAAATAAAAGTCTGGGATGGCATCTTTCCAAAAAGGGAAGCCTTTTGCCAGCTAGGAGAGTTTGGTTTCATAACCTTGCTACAGGAGTGGCAGATGGAGATTTTCTCCCCTACACAGTTTTGGATGACAGTTTGTTATATCCTGCAGAGTGGTATTAGGCTAACTGGGCTAATTAACTACAAGTGGTCTTCTGTCTGTATTCAGTAACCCACTGGTGTATTATGGTTGCAGATTAGGAGTATTTATACTTAAATTTTCTGTGTATTAGATTTGTCATCTCAGCTGGATTCTAAGGTCCCTCACTATGTTTTATGATTTTTCTATGTGCCCCACTGTGGTGGGAGAAGAATAGAGCTCAATGGACAAGTGATCAGCTAATTGCCTTAGGTCCAGTGGTTAACAAGTAAACTCTAATAGGAAGATACAGGGACTTCATGGAAGGGAGTGGCATTCTACACAGAATTATGGGTATATGCAGCTCTAATCCTGTCTGGCAGAGATCCATATTAATTAAAATGTTCTGATTTTTTAAAGAGTTAAAATATAATTAAATATTAATCTTACAAAATAAAAATTGTAATTCTGACTAGATTTCTCATCTGCTACCCTATAATCTAGGATTCAGTCTTACCCATTGTTGACTCCATAACAGTAAGTAATGCATGTCAGGTACTGGGACAGGCAGTGAAAACAAAGATAAATGGGTCCTTAATCCTCAAGGAAGGAACAGTTCAATCAGAGATAAATGCATGAACAAACCTATAAGTTGAATAAAAAAATGTAGAGTGCAAAGGAGACTCAGGGAATATGGGAAAGGCTTCCCCAAGAAAGTGATCTCTGAGATATTTCCGGCAAGAGAGGAAGAGCTAACTAGGGCTGACCAGGGGTGTGAAAGGATGACATTCAGGCAGGGGAAATTTACAAACATGCAGAGGAATAAGAATGCATGGTGCATGGACCATTTGGAAAATGCAAAACTACCAGCATTCTAGTACAAGGAAGGAGCACATGGACTGGAGATTCAGAGAAAAAGCTAGGAAAGCATATTTGTGGGTAAAAGGCTTAACTTCTGTGTAACTCACGGTCTTCATCTGTGAAATGGGCATGATAATAATATAAACTTCATAGTGTTGTAATTAGGATTAAGACAGGGCACCTAAAACATCCATTGAGTGTTGCATAGGCTCTATGGGTTAGAAGGGACATTTCTGGTAGTAGAGGAGAGAGGACCGGGGAAGACTGATGGAGGAAATGAAATGAGTTAAGTAACGCAGGAGAAATTATAAGGGTAAGACGTTGTGGAGAAGGGGAAGCTACATTATATTCACACACATGTACGCTCACATATAAAATATGCTAGTTGTGATTTGCTTGTTTCCATTTAGTTCATATGTAAGACAAAAAAGAAAAAAAAAGCACTACATGACATAACAACTGTTATCATGAAGGTGTTTATTCAGTACCATGCATTACAATAGGCTCAGGAATAATTCTGCACTTTCCCCAACCCCTTTCCTTCCGTCTCCCTCCCTCCCTTTCACTTAGCCTGGTTTCCAAAGTGATTCAAGAAAGCACAACAATTGAATTTTATCCTTGCTCATACCAAGACAAGCAAAAAAAAAAAAAAAAAAAAGAAAGCAATGGTTGGAGTTAATGATAATTATTCATATAAGTTAGGAGAGCGTTGGTAAAGTGTTAGAGGAAGACTCCAAATCACACTTGGTTAAAAAAAATTTTTTTAAGGTAAAAGAAAATCCAGGAGGATAGGAAAAACTTGAAGGTAGCAGAACTAAAGGCTTTCTAAAATCCATAATTCTAAATTCTCTCTGAATGCAGAAGAGGAAACTGAGGTCTAGAGTTGAATAATTCTTTAGACTGAGAAAAGTGATGCTTGGGTACATTTTTCTTAAGGTGATTTGTGGTTTTATAAAAAATATGAGATTAATAATTTATTAGCAGTAAATTAATGTTAAATACCCCACAATTCAAATTATTTTAACATACAATTTAAAATACTGAAATTTCTTAACACTAGTCATTTTTTTCTTTTTTAGCTTACACATCAATAAATCCTTGCTATCTTGAAATGATATGATGATATTTATTTCTTTAAGTGTTCCGTTCATGCATTATTGATTAATTTACTTAGACACTGCCCCATTGTGGTTCTTTAGACTTCCCTGTCTCTCATTTTAATGAATCAGAGTCTCTCTCTTTAAAGATTGTTTCAAAAATTGAATTGTAGGACATGTCTTATGCTCAAGAAAGACGTGGCACACAGGAGTTACTATGGAAATGTGCGATCTCTAATTATGACCTCTAATACAAACATTCAAAGTCATTTCCACACAAATCATTTAAAAATCAACGGCAGCGATGAGGGAGAGTTTTCATCTCTAGCCTGACAGTAGGCATTCCATCACAAGTACATCAGCAATTTAACGCTTTTCAAACATCAGACAGAGCCATCAATTAGAATGTAATGCAGATACAGATATTAAGTCCTCACCATGATGGATATCTGCCCAACACCCTTACTACCACTTTTGAACTCATTACACATTTATAAACTTACCCTAAATTCTATCTTCCAGGAGAGCAGTAACTGGGTCAAAGGTAAATGGAATCATTCAATGTAACAAATTCCTAAATACTTCAAGAAAACTTCCAAGGAAATAAGTATGGGCGAATGAACATACACAGTGAATCATTTAAACCATTTACATTTGGTAAAATAAGTTACATATATAGTCTATACATGTTCTGTACATTTTATATACATTTAGAAATCGTTTCTTTAAAATTATCTTGCCTCAAGGAAAATCGTATAGCTTTTTGCAAAACTATAAATCTCTGCACTGATAGTTCTGTTTCACTTAATCTATCTAAAATAAACTCCTTAAAAATAAAACAGAGTACCACTAAATAAAACTGATCATATATTCAATTTTGAGTCAGCACAAATTATTTTATTCATGCCACAAAGAATGTAGCCTTCCTTAAAAACCTATGCTCTGTAAGGTAAGTAAACAACATAACACAGTGTTTTATCAGAATTTTCAAATGCTCAAGTACAATAAAAATTACATTATAAAAAGAAATCTTCAGCAAAACCAGCATCTCTTAGATATGATTATATAATTATGCCATCCAAACTTCATGTATTTTCTGTTACTGATATTCATTTAATTTATATCATCATATTATTTTATAACTACTCTATATGAGTAATTTAAAACATACATGTAGTAGATTTCAGAATCGGCCACATGAATTTTCCTCCAAAAGAAATGTACAGTTGACCCTTGAACAATGTGAGAGTTGGGGGTGCTGACCCCCCATTCAGTTGAAAATCTGAGCACAATATTTGACTCCCCCAAAACTTAATAGCTGACTACCATCTGGAAGTCTTATCAACAACATTCAAATAACACATATTTTGTATGTTAGATGTACAATATGCTGTACTCTTAAAATAAGGCAGAGAAAAGAAAATGTTGTTAAGAAAATCACAAGGAAGATAAGATACATTTACAGTACTACACTGTATTTATCAGAAAACAAAACAAAACCCATGTATAAGTGGACTGGCACGGTTCGAACCCATGTTATTCAAAGGTCACCTGTACTTTGGTGTAGATCAGGTCATAGAAAATTGTTACATTTTCTCAAATAGAAATATCTGTAGCATCCTCACATTCTATATTATACCACTTAGCGTTTTTTATAGAATGCAATTTTTATGAAAAGTAGAGTATATTC